AGCAATTTCGGCATGCGCGCGAGGCCGACGGACGCGAGCGGCTTTCGCCTCCCCGGCAAGCGCGCAAAAGGGCGTTCGACTTATTTCGACATGCGTGCGCGGGAGGCCCGCTAGGTCGCATGGGGTGAATCTGCGTTGTTTCTTTGTTGTACAAAAGAAGCGATGGCTCTCGTGTGAATTTGAACGCGCCCTATTTTTTTGTTGCATGATGGTGCGAAACAGTTGTTTGCTGCATGTAGCCTGGAAGCTCGGTCTTGCCATCCTTGCGACGCCAGCTGTTCGCGACGAATGCTGGCATGCGCGCGCGACGCCCCGCGCGCGTGGACTTTTGTGCGATGTTCTTGCAAGGGGCTGTTCGACACTTTTTGAATTGCGACAGCCGTGCGCGCGAGTATAGTCTTTTTTTGACAGACGTGAGGGGGGGCGATGAGGGGTCCAGCCAACGCGGTGCGTGATCAGATTCAGAGTCGCCGACGGGGCATAGTCGCGCGCGAAGTGCATTCCTCCGGGGGGGGCCGATGCCCGGGGCCCGGGGTAGAACGTATAATTTGTCATGCAAGGGAACCTCTGTGGCGCAATCTAAGTAGTGGAATTCACTTGCCGAACTTGAAGTTGCCAGCTCCACTGCTCGCGCAATCACCCCACCCGCCCGCCCGCAACTTGGTTTGCGAAACCCTTGCGGGAACGAGAGCAGATTTCTCTCCGGGGTCGTCTTGGGGCCCCCGGGGGCGTCTCATGAGCGCCCCAAGAAGGCCGGAGAAGCGAGACGGCCGACGACGACGACGACGGCGGCGACGGCGGCGACGTCGACGACGACGAAGACGATGACGACGACGACGCCGACGCCGACGACGACGACGAAGACGACGACGTCGCCAACGAAGACGACGACGAGGTAGGAGGGGGGGCGACGACGGCGACAACGACGACAACGACGACAGCGACGACAACGATGGAGGAGGGAGGACGGCGACGACGCGAACGACGAAGAAGGAGGAAGGACGGCGACGCCGACGACGACAACGACGAGGGAGGAGGGAAGACGACGACGAGACGACGACGACGACGACGACGACGACGGCGGCGAAATAGGAGGGGCGACGACGAGACGCCGACGACGGACGACGACGACGAGGGAGGAGGAGGAAGGACGACCACGGCGACAACGACGACGGAAAGAACCACGACAGGACGACGTAGGCGACGACGACGACGACGACGACGCGGGAGGAGGGAGGACGGCGACGACGACGACGACGAGGACGACGCAAGAGAGCGCGCGCTTTTGTTGTTGTTGTTGTTTTTTGGTGAAAATCCGCGTTGCGAAGCCTTGTGTTTTTGTAGTTTGTTAGACGCGATGTTGCAATCTTTCCGAAACCGATGGGGTTTGAAAGTTATCGGCATACGCGCGCGACGACGCGCGCGGCAGCACTTCGTCCCACGTTTTGCGGAGGATTCTCGCAACGGTACACGCGCAAGGGCGTTCGGCAGATTTCGACATGCGCGCGCGCGAAGCCCGTTTATTAGCATTTTGTAGCATTTTATGAAAAATTGTAAACCAGGGTTTTCTTATGATTTCGCAAAAGACCGCGCGGAACCTTCTTCAGCCAATACTGATTTTGACAAACGGTTTGATGCATTCCGTGCTCTTGCAAACGTCCCACCCGCCAGCCCGCAATTTGGTTTGCAAAACCCATTCGGCGGCGATTGCAATGAGTGCCTGGCGTTGGCTGGTGCATCTGCGCGGCCGCGCCAACCCGAGCGCGCGCGCGGCGGCCAGGTAGTTTGGCGCGACCGACGCGGCCGCGGTGGCGATGACAGTTGGGCGCATTTCAGCGGGCACTCCAGTGCGAGTCGGCGACTGGGACGGACGCAGTTTAATGGCAACGTCGACAACGGTGGACACAATGACTATATCATCGATGCCGGTGGCGATGTCGACAACGACGACGGCGCGGCCATCCACCGCGCAGATGTTGATCGCGCCGGCGACGATGACGGCATCCTCGCGTAGGTGATGGAGGTCTTGGACAGAGTTCGACATGTGCGCGCGGCCGACGCGCGAGTGACCCGCATGGTTTCATTTGACGCGGATCGCGCCTTCCTGCAATCTTGCAAAAAGGCGTTCGAATGATTCGACGCGCGCGTGGGGGGCCCGCTTGGTCGCGTGGGATGGGTTTTTGTCAAAGAGAAGCGATGGTTCTCGCGTGAATTTGTGTGCCCGCGCGTATGTTTGATACACGATGGTGCGAAACGATTGTTTGCTTTCATGCAGCGGGGAAGCTCGATCTCGACATCGCTGCGGTACCCGAGTTTTTTTTGACGAATGCGTGCGCGCGCGCGCGAAGCCGCGCGCGCGTTGACTTTGCGCAGTGTTTTTTGGACAGGGGTGTTCGACACTTCTTCACGTGATAAAACGAGAGCGCGCGTATAGTACGATTTGACAGACGCGGGGGGGCGACGATGGGGTCCAGCCTGCGCGGTGTGACATCAGATTCAGAATCGTTGACGGGGCAGAATCGCGCGCGAAGAGCGCTCCCCAGGTGGGGCCGATACCTCCGGGGGCGGGGTAGAGCGTATAAGTGTTCGCGCAAGAGAACCTCAGTGGTGCAATCCAAGTAGCGCAGTCTATGCGGAGCATTTGATTTTGACAAGCGAGTTGATCCATTCCCTGCTCTTGCAAACATCCCGCCGACCAACCCGCATCTTGGTTTGCTAAACCCATTCGGCGGCGATTGTAATGAGTGTTTGGCATTGGCTGGTGCATCTGCGTGGTCGCGCCAACCCAGGCGCGCGCGCGCAGCGGCCAGCTAGTTTGGCGCGACCGACGCGGCCGCGGAGGCGTTGGCCGCCGCGCGCATTCCAGCGGGCATTCCAGTGCGAGTCGGCGACTTGGGCGGACGTGGTACCATGGCAACGGCGACAACGGTAGTCGCGATGATGATCGTAGCGATGCTGGTGACGATTTTGACATGGACGACGGCGCGGCCATCCACGGCGCAGATGCTGATCATCGCGCCGGCGACGATGACGGCGTCCTCGCGTCGGTGATGGATATTTTGAAAATGCTTACGAAACCACGGATTTTCGAAGGATTTTTGCATGCGCGCGCGACGACGCGCACTTCGTCCTGTTTTTCGTGAGAGGGAGTCTTGAATATTGATGGTTGTTGATAAACGAGTGCGCGCGCATAGTTTCTTTTGCCGGGGATGGCGGGGGGGGCGGATACCGTTTGGGATGATATGGATTCATATTTCGAGTGGACGATGGGGCAGAATCGTATCTAAATTGCCGTACGAAAAGGGAAGCGGATGTTCCCTGGGGGGCTAGGGTCCATTTTGTTTTCATTTAAAAAGGGTATGCGTGCTTCAATTTATCCGTGACAACGTACGCGACGCAGCGGCGAGGCAGCGACGGGACGGCGACAGCCGCAGCTTAGCCGCCAGACCGCAACACCGGCCCAGACGACGGGCAGCGAAAAGGCATCGACGTGGCGGCGACGGCGACAAGCTGCCAGACCGCCGCACCGGCCCAGACGATGGGTTGCGACGAGGCGGCGACGCGGGGCGGCGACGGCGACAACATGGCCGCCCGACCGCCACACGAACTATTTTATCCGGGAGAGAGGAACCCTTTCGTGCAAGGATCGTTGGGGGAATACCATGTTTACATATGTATGTATATATATGGACATATGCAAACACGCACGCACAACGTGCAACATATATGTATGGTTAGCAGTGCGTAAACATAAATAGTTTACATGTTTTCGTAAACGTGCGCATGAACATTCACGCATGTGTATAGTACACACATATGTATGTATGTATATATATATATGAAGTATGTATGTATGTATGTATGTATGTATATATGTATGTATGCATGCATGCATGTATGTATGTGTACATACATACACACTTACATTATATATATAGGTGTGAATGTGTATCAATGATGGTTTTCGGCCTATCCCGCCACCGTGTCTGGGTTGCGTAGGGTGTTCGTTGGGATTTCGGGGACCTCCTGGAGGGAGTTTGAAGCCTCTGGGAGCTGTTTGGGGGCATCATGATGGCTTCTTGGGGCCTCGTGGGGGCCCCTTGGGGACTTTTTGGGGACCTCTCGGGGCCTCTTGTGCGTCGTGGTGCGGAAGGCATGGATTGTCGAGTCGTGTTCCCCGGTTGCCTCTTGGGCCGTCTTGGGGCCCTCTTAGGCCGCCTTGGGGCCCTCTTGGGGGCCCCTGAAACCGTCTTGCGGCGGTTTGGGGGGAATGGTTCGGACCTTCCGAAGCGTCGGAATTTCGGAAAGTGGAAGACTCCAAAACTATACATAAAAAAACGATGGGAAATTCTCGGTGCCTCTTGGGAATGCTCTTGGGGCTCTTTTGGGGCGTCTCGAATGCTTCTTGGGCCGTCTGGAGCCCATCTTGAGCATCTTCGGGCGTCTGGGCGAGCTGTTGGGGGGTCTCTTTCCCCGTGTTGGGCTCCTCTTGGACCCGACAGAGGCATGCGACAACATTCTGGGAGCCCAAGGGGGCACGCGAGAAACCCTGGAAGGTTTGAGAATTCGGGGCCCGAGCCCCCAAAAGAACCATCAGGACTGAGGAGTGAGGCTCCGTCCAAGGGACCTGAGGACATTGCAACTCGTGCCTCGAGATCACGGTGGCGGATATGTTCGTGCATGAGTGCAGAAGCCCGATGTGGACGGGGCCTGTGCCACAGGCATTCCTTGTTGCAGGACCTGTGCCATGCGTGAAATGTCTGGGGAGCGCCTACCGCTGCTAGCGCGGTTGCGGATATCGTTCTCTGTTGATCTCTCTCTCTCTCTCTCTCTCGCTCGTTCTCTTTCTACCTCCATCTCTCTCTCTCTCTCTTCTCCCTCGATTGCCCCCCCTTTCTCCCTCTCTGCATGCCTAGCTTTTTATTTGTTTCGCCCTCTCCTTAGTTGGTACTCTCCGCCTTGCGCTGTCCCTGTGTACGCCCTTAGTGTTCCCATCTCAGTTCTTGCCCGCTCAGGAACTCGGTGAATGCGGACTGCCTGCTCGAGGGCCAGATCCGTGTGCCGTTCAACTCTCGGCAGCAGTTTCTGAAGGCTACTCGCACCGCAGAGTGAATTGTGTACGAGGAAGGGTCATGCGCTTGCAACTTCCCATCCCGCGCTTGTGCACATAAGCAGGACTTGTGTGCTCTGTCGGCGTTTGGTTTCAGCGTGATCTTCGGTGCCTCGTGTGGAACACATGAGGGGAGGGGAGGGGAGGAGGGGAGGACTCGACCTGGCCTGCTACAGGAGTTGGACATGCTTACAATAGCGGTATGCTTCGCAAGCTCTGTCTCGTGAAGCAAGCAGTGTCATGAACGTACACGTATGCTACGGCCCTGCGCATGTTCAGGGATACGAATGCGGCCGTAGGCGTCGCTTTGTCGCGCTCTGGGGTACGATCATCCAGCAGCTTGCGGCAATCCCCACCACCGTGCCAGCGTGCCTCCTCTACTTCAGTGCTCTGTTTGAACTGGTAAGGGTCCTGGAACCACCCCACTTACCTGCAGCCTTGCTCTCCTCTCACTTCAGCCCTTCCTCGTCTGTCCCCTCCCCCTCTCTCCCGTGTTGGAGGCATCTTGGAAGCTTCTTGGGGACACCTGGCCTTCCTTGGGGCCTCGTGGGCTATGTGGGGACCTTGGTCCGAGGCCTGAAAACCATCACGTCACTAATTTTGGGCCCCAGGGCCCACTGAGGCCCCAGGGGCCCCAGAATAGTGAAGTGATGTTTTTTTACCCACGTAAGGACCCCGACATTCATCACTTCACTAAACCGAGCCCAGGACGAAAGTCAGGGGCCGCATTGCTGCTGTGATGCAGCATTGGTCTCGTACTTGGGCCTCTGGGGGGTCCCGTTCGAGGCCCGTCGGCGGTCCGTGGGCCGCCTCTGTCTCGCGGACTCCGCCGAGCTTCCACCGAGCAGGCCCGGCGGAGTCTTCCTGGGGACGTTTCGGGCAGCTCTCGAGGCTGTCCTGGAGCAGGGCTGGACCTAAACGGTGTTTTGGCGATTTCGTGGGCCGTTTTCGTCTCGACCTCGTTTTGCGGCGGCAAGGGCGGATTGAAGACAAAACGAGGGAAAACGAAAACTAAACGACAACGAAAACCACCGCTTAGGTTCAGCCCTGTCCTGGAGCCCTCTTCTGCCGTTTCTGGAGAGGTCTACCTCGGACCAAGACGCCCGTGCGATTTCCAATGCGGCCCCAACTGCCTCCAGTCGGCGGCGAGCGAGGGGGGAAGTGAGAAGGAGAAGGCCTTTGAAGGCGGGGGGACTTCTCAGAAGGCCTCACGCCTGCTGAGAGGTTTTCTGTACCTTCGGGGAAGGCGGTGTAATCTTCTCAGAAGGCCGGCGGGCTTTCGTGCCCTCTGAGAATGCCCGCCCCTCCTGACTTCCCCCCCAGGCTCGCCGCCGCCGGTCCACAGCACCCCCCAGGAGGCCCAGAGGGCCCCGGGGGCTCCAGACTTGAGCGAAAAGCTGGGGGCACCTTGGGCCAGGGGCACCTGTAGCACCCCCCGATCGGTAGCAAAGCTTGAGACCCTTGCATGCCCTCGTAATTCAATTCTTAGACTGCACAAGCGTCGATTAGCGTTCGGCTAGCGTCGGCTAGCGTCGATTCGCAAGAGTCATCAAGATGGCGCGGGAGGCTCCCGTGACTGGCCGCCGGAGGAGGGGCAGCAGGCCTTCGGCAGTCCGCGGACGACTCGTGTCGAGGAACACGGCGGCAGAACCATACCTTTCGAAGCTCCGCGCAGCTCCGAATTTTCGTTTTTAACTGTTTACGCAAGCCTGTATTACTGTATCATATACACCACACCGCGTTGGTGTCTCCCGAGGTGTCGTCGATTTTCGACCCAGGAATGGTGCGGTGCTTTGACGTTCGGCCCTCCAGGCCGTAACGCTGTACAGCGTGCCGGGTTGGAGCGGTGCCTGGAGGCAGGCCAAACATGGTACTGTGCACAGGCGCCGTTCTCGTGGTCGAAAGCATGAGCGGCTGCTGGCAGCAGCGGCGCCAGCTCGAAGAGGAACATATTATTGTATAGACATAATCTGTCGAAGGTCCGCGTGGATCTCTTGGATCTGCCCTGGAGTCCCATGGCGGCACCTGCAGCGACGCTCCGGGCGCGCTCCGCACTCCCAGGCGAGAGGGTGTTCAGCGCAGAGCCTCCGCAAGTTGATGTCGTTGTTGTTCCTCTAAGCAGGAGCGGATGCTGGCAGCAGTAGCAGCACCAGCAGCAACAGTGATAGCAGGAGGGCGGACAGCGCTTCGCGCATCGCGGGGCGCGGTGCACGAAGCGCGTGCGTGTGTGTGTGAGTGTGTGTGTGTGTGCGTGCGTGCGCGTGCGTGTGCGTGTGCGTGTGCGTGTGCGTGTGCGTGTGCGTGTGCGTGTGCGTGCGTGTGCGTGTGTGCGTGTGCGTGTGCGTGTGCGTGTGCGTGTGTGTGTGTGTGTGTGTGGTGTGTGTGTGTGTGTGTGTGAGTGTGCGTGTGTGTGTGTGTGTGTGTGTGTGTGTGTGTGTGTGTGTGTGCGTGTGCGTGTGCGTGTGTGTGTGCGACTTTGGGGGTCGGGGATCAGGCGTTGCCAAGGGTACCCTCTGCACTAGGTGTCCCCGGCCTTTCGCACCACCGTGGAGCCCCTGAGGCCCTCTGGGTCCCATAAGGGGTGGTGCTTGGAGGGCCGCGCAGACCTCCATGATAATCTTTGGGACACCTTGGGCCAGGGGCACATCTGGCAGCGCCCGAGGGGAGTGCCTGCAGCGCAGGTGGGTGTTTATCGGCGTTCCGCACACCGAGATGTGCTGGTTGGCGAGGCGCGGGCCGACCTATCTTGCCCTAGCGCTGTCTGCTGTACGAGTGATCGCTCTTGCCGTGGAACCGCGGCTGTGAACTCCTCCACAAGCCTCTTCATTCAGGATGGGAACCAAACACACAGACACCAATACAGTCGATTCCCAGGAAAATATCAGAAATCCATGGGACATCTTGAAAGTTGAGGTGAAGACGAAACTCCAGAACCTAATGAAGAATGGGGGGGAACCTGGAGGTTGTGTCTATACATATGTATGTATATATATATATATATATATGTGTGTGTGTGTGCGTCCCTGGGTCCCTTCATATACCTGTGCTGCTATCAGGGTGCTCTGCTGTAGATTCAGGATTGCTAGCAGCAGGAAAGTCTCGAGCGGAACGTCCGGGCCGGCCCACGGAATTGTCGGGTTGTGTGACGGGCTAGTTGCTTACAGTCGGATCGAGATTTTAGATCGAGGTCGGTTCGGGGAGGGAACCCTGATGTTCTTCGTGTTTGTTGGATGTTCTTGTGCATCCTGGGGGAGGGTATCCTCGACTGCTCTTCAGTTTGGCTGGCAGAGGGTCTCATGTTCTGGAAGGATGCTCTTCTGAGGACCGGCTGTATGTGGAACATGGGTGCACAGGAATGAAACGGAGGACGAGGAGGAGGCCCCTTGGGGTCCTCTTTGAGCCTCTTGGGGGGTCCTCGTTGGGGCCTCTTGGGGCCTCTCTCGGAGGCTTGTGGGGCCGTCTGAAGACCCTGGCCCGTTGGACGCTTTTGGAGGCCATCTTGCGGGCCTACCTGGCCCGTCTTGGGGGCCTCTTGGGGCGCTGTAGTGCCGTCTAGGATGCCTCTTGGCCCGTCGTGGAGCCCTTTCTGGGCCATTTTGGGACGTCCTTGGGGGCTTCTTGGGCCGTCTTGGACAGTCTTGTGGCGATACTGGGCTGCCTTGGAGGCATCTTGGGCGAAAGTGGATGCATTTCGTACCGCCTTGGAGGCCATCTTGGACCGTCTCGGGCTGTCGTGGAGGCCATGTTGGCCCACTCGGGTCCCTCCCTCGGGGCCCTTTTGGAGCCTCGTTCGGCCGTTGGTGGGGCCGTCTTGGGGTCCTCTCCTGGCCCTCTTGAGCCATCATTCGGTGATCTTCGGGGCTCCTCTTTTTTATCGTCTTGAGGGTCCTGCAGTTCGAAAATGTGACTTCCCCAACATCGCCCAGCTGCTTGGGTCGTCTGAGCGCTCTCCCGCTCCTGGAGGCGTCACTCGACACACCCGTGAACTCATGCGAAACGCTCACAAGCATTCGCCCCTTGGGCTATGATGTTCCAACGTACTTTAGCCTTGATGACCAGGAATAATTTCGAGCACCAGAAAAAAAGTACCCAAACTCGAGGGTTCTCACCTGTCAGGCCCTGCGGGACACTCGTCCGACACTGCTTCGACACTCTTCCGACACTTTTCTCCGGGTGCTCGAATGAATTTCTGGGGTGTGATCCTCAAGTACGATGGGGGCAACATAACCCTCGGGCTACAGTGACCCTGAAAGGACATGCTCCAACGCCCCTCACGGGGGCAGAGACCAACGCAGACAAGTCTACCTACTTGGGGGCACGTGACGCCTCCTCCTCCCCCTCTCGCACTCTGTCGCTTTTGCCTCCGTGTTGTGCTCCTTTACTCCTTGTCCCTCGGTTATCTTCCGTCCACATCCTCATGCCGTTGAGGGCGTGCCTGTTTGTAATGTAGTGCCGATCCTCCTCCACCTGCACATCATCATCATAATCACCATCATCATCGTCATCATCATCGTCGTCATCATCGTCATCATCGTCATCGTCATCGTCGTCGTCGTCATCAAATTAATCATGACCATCCCTCCTCGAGTCCTCGTCTTCCCTGCTCCCTGTTGCCTCCCTCCGCTGCCTCCCTGTCCTTTGCCCCCTTCCACTCTCCCCGCTACCTCGTCTTCATTATCGCTCCTCCTCAACTTGCAATCCTCTTCCTCTTTCTCCTCTTTTCCTGGTTCTCCTCGTCCGGTCTCGTCGCCCTGGTTGGCAGATTCGCAACATGTTGTTATTTCGAGTTTGCAGTGCTAGCTGAAGTGTACGCCACCCAACACTGTGGACGTATAGGTCGGTGCTGTTCTCCTTGTCATCCTTTAAAGTGGCGACCGCATGCTCTAATACAAATTCGACGACCCGCTGATGCGTGTTCCCACGAAGCAGTATAGTACTGTAGTTCATGTGGAAGCAGGAGCCGCGCGATAATGCAACTGATTGCAATGACCGGCAAACATTTCAATTACACGAGGCCTGTTTGTTTAGTTATCGTGCTGGTGCACAGCGCTGTCGCCCATGTGCCTGTTCTCAGATCCTTTTTGCTCAAGCGTCACGGGGCGAGCCTGCTTGGCTCAAGCCAGAGTCGCCTGTGCCCGTAGCTCGTTGGCAGCTCGGTTGCCACCCCTCAACAATGTCTGGCACCTGGATCAAGCAGGATGCCAAGATGCGGATTCCGAAGACCTCGTTCCTGGATGCGCACCGCTTCGCGGGGGTCACGGCTGGACGATGCCGTGCAGTGGTGGCGGGGTTTGAGCCCGTCGCCCGTGCCATTTTCCGAGGCTCCTCCTCCGCCGCGCGTCGTCCCTCTCCTGGTCCCTTCTCGTCCTCGAGCTCCTCATGTCCTGCTCCTTCGCCTCAGCCTCCGTCGTCCTCGTCCTCGCCTTCCTCGCCATCCTCTCTTCTCCGTCCTCGTCGTATCCTCAGGACCCCTCTCTCCTCTTCCCTTGTCCTCCCTCCTCCTTACTCCTCCTGCCCCTCCCAAGGAACCACCTTGACGCGCTGGATGCGGCCAGATTCAGTATGACTTGCGGTGCGTGTTCGTGTGTGTAGTTTGCACGTAGACTCGATTTTTGTCAATTCGCAGCGGACATCAGTAACAATACTCGGGCGACGGCAAGGTCTCTGGTTGCACTGTTGCAGACGTCTTCGAGGCAAGTCAAAGCACCCCAAGGAGCTTGAGCCGACGAAGTCAGACCCGATCTCGCAGGAGGGCGTGGTGGAGGAGGAGTCGGCCCCACCCCTCCCCGACGCCTGCAGGACCGACCCCTTTTCGGGAGGGGGACAGGGGTCAGGCGTCCCTGGCGCGCCAAGGGCTGGAGAGGCCAGCGGATGTGATGACCCAGCGGGGAGGGATCGTGGAGGCGTTCCAGTTTGACCTGTTCGATCTCGGGGGCGTCCAAGAGGGGTGCCAGGACTTCCTTGGGGATCCACGCAGATTTCTCGCATGGCGTCGCTTCGGGCGGCGCCCCTTGCGCGCTCCAGGCGCCAAGGAGTGGGCTCTGGCGCCGACCTCAGATTTTTTCGCGGAGCTCCTAACATTTATGCTCATGCAGATTTTCTTCTGTATGCACAGGGATGCGCGGGTATCATGGCCGGAGCCTTGACATATCCCAGATCTCATGATCTCCCTCTTTCAATGCACTCCCCAGCCCCCCTCGTTCGAGCACATGCCTCGGGCACATGTCTTCACGCACATGCCCCCTTCTTCCTGGCGCCCATTTTCGGCGCACCCGGCGATCAGATCCTGTCGAGCTGCTGTCGCGATGGTTGCCCGAGCGTGTCCCAGGAGTCGAATAAGAGAAAACCGAACAAGCAAAGTTTTCGGTGTTCTGCGCGGATTTGTTGGATCGGCGCTTGACTCCCTTCTGGCGCGCGGAGCTGGCCGGAGGTGGCGCCAGAGGCGCCGCCAGGGAGGTCCAGCGCCGATCAAAAAATTTCGCGCGGACCTTCGAAATATTATGTAAATGCAGTTTTTCCTTCTCAAAGGAGACCGTCGCTGTGGACGTCTGCATCCCAGGCACCCCGGAGTCTGTTGCGGACGAGTGGACGGTCTGGCTTGCCCGTGCCCCCAAATGACTTCAGGCAGGCACGGCCATCGAGGCCCTTCCCTTCACGCTGGTGCTCTTCGGCTCCGGTCGCGCTTTTTTCTCTGGGCCTGCGCTGCGGGCAGTCGGGCCACAGTACGCAGACTCCTATATGCAGGCAGTCTGCCTACGTCTGCCTGCAGCCAGCCCGTTCTGGAACGGGAGAAGTACTAGATGCAAGTGCTCTGCGTAGGGTACTGAGTCGTGCGCGCCGTTTTCGACAGCCCCCAGCACGGCTTGATGCCTGAGGTCTGGGATGTTTGGCTGGCGATCGGCGGGGTTGATTTGCCGAGCGGCTGGGACAAGTATGAAACAAGGGGTCCAAGCAAGAATGTGTGTGTGCTGAACCGTAGATGAACACGTGATGCGATATGTGGATCCGACCAACAATAACCATCATGCTACATCGGACGGTGTGGTGTGTGTGTGTCTGAATTAGCGAAGCTCGCCCTAAGATTCTTTCAACCGCGAGTGCCCGCGGCATCATCTTCTCCTCGCGCGCAGCCCCTTGCTGCCGGACACATTGGTCTGTCGACCGCCCCCGACTAGTCGAGCGCCCGCGCGGATTGTTTCTGCCGTGCCGCGATGCAAAACAAGCGTGTGAGCGAAGTGGCCGCAACCAGAACATCGGTTTCGGAGCCGGCGAGGCGAAACTGCGCGAGGGCAACGGTGTGTCGGCGGAGCCAGGGCCAGGCCGTACAACAGGGTTCTGTTCCTGCCTGTCTCGCGCTGCCGCGCAGGGTGGCCTCGTAGATTTTTCCCGGTGGTTGTCCCGTGGGTGGTCCCGTGTGTCGTCCCGTGGTTGTCTTGGGTAGGCGTTCCCGTGGTTGTTCCAGGTCAGATGCTCGTTTGGGGCACCGTCCTGGGGCCCACCCGACGGATCGATTCGATTCCAGTTCGACTCAAGGTTCTAGGTCTATTCTGTTTCGATTCCAGTTCGGCTCAATTTTGACTGGTTCGAATCAAGTTCGAATCAAGTTCGACTCAAGTTCGGCTCGGGTCGACGAACGTTCGACGCAGCTTCAACACACGAGTTGTGGGAATGGCTCCAGGAAGGTCCCCAGACTGAGCATCTAACCCATGGGCCCCCATGGGTTGCCACGTTGATCTGCCGTGGGGGGGTGCAATCTGAGATGCGCGTGCATTTGGGGATGTATATGTGTAACCGGGTACGCAGATTGTGGTTGGTCAGGCGGGTCGGTGGACACATAGTCAGCCATACATGGGGTATCTCGGTCGCCAGCAGATGTTAGAAGGTATCGAAGACGCTGACGGCGAACCACCGCCGCCCCATGCCGCTTGGAAACGCCTATGTGGCCAAACGTTGGGCCAACGCTTGGCCAAGCTATTGGAACATGTGCTCCCCCAGCCGTTGTGGAAACCCTTGGGGGAACACTTGATGAAGGAGGGGAGTGGATGAGGATTTGACCTCTACAGGTCCACCGCAAAGTGCACCAGCTGGTAGGGCGGGACCTACAAGCTGTGGGAAAGGGGCAAACGACAGTGCCCAAATTAAGCACCGTCACCTGAGACCCCTACCCTCCAGCGCCAAATAGCCAGCTCGGGACCGAGGCCATGCGCACGTGCCCAAGCACAGCGTGCACGTGCCACAACATCTCTAAGAGAGGGGCAGGCCCACGAGACCAAGGGGACCCCGAGCTGCAAGCGCGAGAAAAAGGCCAGCTGCAGGGAGACTGCAGCTGGACGCTATCTCGAGCCGACTGCCCTCAACTGTACAGGAGGACAACAGGCAAGACAGCGCCCTCCCTCAAGGGCCACGAAGGCACCGAGACGAGGAGGGCAAAGCCATGGGACGCGCTACGCACACACGCACGAGACGCGCACCCCACGCCAAAAGAGGATGATGGGGCCCTGAACCTACGCTCAAAGCCACAGCAACATTCACCGAGCCACGGTCAGGATGGAGTCATCCCCGTGCTCGGGCAAAGAAGAGGTGCACCCAGGATGTGCGCGCACCTTCCCCCAGAATTGGGGTGCCTGACACACGTGCACGCTTACGTCCGCGAAAAAAGAAAGACAACAAAGGAAGCTCGACCGCCCACAGGACGACGAGCCCACAGCCCCTGGTGCAGCAAGCGCCAGGACGACCGACGGACTCGCCCCAGACGTGGGGTGACGCACGGATGCCTGCCAAAAGGGTCAGTCGCATCGGGCCGTGCAGCAAGGAGAGAAGGCGAACCCTCGCCACTGGGAAAACTCGACCACCCACAAAAGGACGACGAGCCCGAAGTCCCTGGTGCAGCCAGCGCCAGGACGACAAGCGGACTCGCCCCAGATGTGGGGTTAAGCACGGATGCCTGCCAAAGGGGTCAGACGCATCGGGCCGTGCAAGAAACGAAGACGAAAAAGGCGGCCATGCTCCGCAGAGAATCAATCCGAGCTGTCCGACTCGTCCTGGCGGCGTCTCGCCAGGAAGGAAGGCGTGAGGAGTGGTCTCTGAGAGGGAGGCTGCGGAGCTGCAACTTCGTCGGCCACTAGCCTACTCCGCACGCATGCTGGCCCCTCTCGATGGGAGGAGCTAGCTGCAGCAGACTGATGGTCCTTGCCGTCGCAAGGACGTTGCACGCACTCCTCCTCCACCCCAAAAGTCACACCCCCCGAGTCCCCCCCCCCACATCGGAAGGCCTGTCAACGCCCTCAAAGACAAATGAATCAAAACAGGTCATACAGTTGTCTAGGTCGACTGTGACCCGTTCTTTACGCTTGAAGTAGTGAGGGTGGTCACCGCGAAGCAGATATCGCCAGCCATATCTAGCAGCACGCGACGGCGGGGGTGTACATTTTCCACCAAGGCCTCTGACTGAGGCCCCAGAGGAGTAGCACTTGCATCTTAGGCATATGAACAAGACTGAGCCGCCGGAGCAATTGAAACCCACCGTGCGGTGATCCAACGCTTGCTGCTTAGCCGCATGCAATTTGGAGAACGCAACGCATCGCCCTGGCGGCGGGCAACTCCTTGCCCCTCTTCGACCCAGCAGACAGACAGCACACCTCCAAATGCCGCTCCAACGCTCCCACTGGTGAGGCACGGGGGGGGGGGGGCTAGCAGAGGGAGCGGGATTAGGTGGGGTGTGCGGCACATCGAGGGACAACTTCGGCCATAGCGGCAGAAGGTTGGCAGCAAGGATGCAATAAGCATGGGCGGCATCCACCAGACGAGTCACTTCCTCCATCTTCGCAGGGGCAGACGGGTGAAGCAAAAGGCCCTGCTTGGCCCCAATGTCAGCATCAGAGTTCCCTTTGCGGAGAAACCTCTCACGATCGGTCAAGCCCTCCTCTTCCAGACTGAGGTGGGCCTTGACCTTTACAATGTCCTCTACAAGCTGACCTTCGAAGGATTTGGCCTGAAGGATCATGCCCGAATAGGTGCGCTTCCCCGAGTGTCTTTCCGTCTCGGGGAGCCCACTTTGATGCGCGACATTGGCGCAATCCGAATAGAGGACCGAAGGAAAAATCATACATTGGGCAACCGCACACCTAGCTGAGAATTCAGCGGCTTGTGGGGTCTGCGGGTAGTGGGCCCAGACAGGGCCACGAACCTCTCCAAGGCACTCCCCGTCGTCCGAATTCATTAAGACAGCCCAAGAGGCCCTAGAAAGCTCTCTAATGGGGTGGCGCTGGCAGGGCCCGTCAATGAAGAGGTGACCCCGCATTTCTCCATTGGCGGGGGCCCTGGGGCCCTCAGGGCTGATAAGCTCTTTGCAGCGCCAAATGTACTGAAGGGAGTTCGTACCCTCTTGAGCTGGCCCGGGGAGCCAGTCGGCGGGGTGGGCGAAAGCCCCTCGAGTGTAAAGGCATATATCCGCATCGTTGGCCTCAGTTGACAGGGGCGCTAGGGCGTCGGCAGCAACAGAGGCGGGGACCCACTGAGCTCTCAACTCAGAGACCTCCTCGTCAAGGCAGCTCCACAGCCTGTGGGCGATGGAGTCGGGGGCGATCCTACACCTGGGGCATAACGGGTCCACTTGGTATCCCGCACTAAGGGCACGATCAGCTGTCCATGTGGCGCAGCTGGTGCAAGCGCGAATCCAACCTTGCTGGGCAGGGGTAAACTTCTTAGAAGAGCAGGCAGCTCTGGGGATGTCTAAACACAAACGCTTCCCAACCCCCCACTTGCCACCCAGGTCCCGCTCCAGACTCCTCAGGTAGGCGTCCTTGCAAAGCGTGTCGAGCAACTTGGGGGAGGTCAGGCCCAGGGAAACCTGATAACCCCTATCGTCGATCGCAGTCATGAAGTTGGGCATCCCCCACCCAAGACGGAGCAAAGAAAGTCTGAGAGCAGAGAGCGGTCCCTTGACCGTGGGCCACGTGACCCTGTCCAGCGAGAAAACGGCATTCCACGCAGCCCGAAGGTCTTCAAAGGAGAGAGAGCCATCACATATCCTAGTGTGGGTGCTCCATATCTCTTTGCTCCATCGAAGTATCGGGGCGCTGGCCGCTCTCCAACAGGGATCCTCCGAAATAATGCTGACAGCCGCGAGAGAGCGGCTCTTGGCGAAGGGGCGCACTGTCGAAAAAGCCTGGCGTCACATCACTAGAAGCTGTTGGTCGCTGACCCCCAAGATCTCCGCTCCATAGGCCCCGCCCGCGAGGGGGCCCGCAGCGAAGATCCTGAGGGCCGCCCTACCCACATGCTCCGACTGCTTCTTGAGACGCCTAGCTTTGCGACACATGAGAGCAGCTCTGGCTTTCATCTTAGAATTCCTGCCAGACACCCGGGCCGATCGGCCCGTGCAAAAATCAACGCCAAGGTTGACAGTGGAATCTCGCACGCTGCCCCCCAGCTGCCCAAGAGCTATGGCAATGTCATTAGCCAGCTTCTTGCTAGAGGCAACGGTGCAAACTTTATCAAGCGACAGCTGGCGCCCCATGTCATTTGTGATGACGTGATGTAACATGATAGAGGTCGACACAATCTGTTGGACGACCTGCTTATGACTGCCAGTGCTCGAAACACCCGTGTCATCGATG